ATCTGTTAAAGTATTTATTGATGTTATGTGTCGAGTATTTATTGAGGTCTTGTGATCTGTTAAAGTATTTATTGATGTTATGTGTAGAGTATTTATTGAGGTCTAGTTAAAATGTTTATTGTTTTGTGTAGAGTATTTATTAAAGTCTTGTTAAAATATTCATTGTTTTGAGTAGAGTATTTATTGAGGTCTTGTTGAAATATTCATTGTTTTGTGTAGAGTATTTATTGAGGTCTTGTTGAAATATTTATCGTTTTGTGTAGAGTATTTATTGAAGTCTTGTTAAAATATTCATTGTTTTGTGTAGTGTATTTATTGAGGTCTAGTTGAAATATTCATTGTTTTGGGTAGAGTATTTATTGAGGTCTTGTTGAAATAATCATTGTTTTGTGTAGTGTATTTATTGAGGTCTCGTTAAAATATTCATTGTTTTGTGTAGAGTATTTATTGAGGTCTTGTTAAAATATATATTTATTGTCTTGTGTGAGAATAAAAATGTATACATTGAGATGTTGCGATACTGACTGAAAGTAATTAAATGAGATCTTGTGAGAGTATTTATTGAGGTCTTATGATAAGAGTATTTACAATATTGTTTTATTTGGTGTTAAGAGTGTGCATATGTGAAAATGTTTGAGGATACATGAATGAATGTTGGTGTGTGTATGTGTGTATGACATGTGGGTGTTAGTAGGTGTTTGTGTGTGTGGGTGTGTGAGTGATTTTAGAATTCATCCTTGATTTATTAAAACATTCTAAATGCCAATTACTAGTTTGGTTTTTATTTGATGATTCTAAGTACAATTGATGTGAAGCCACTAAGAATTTGAAGCATACTAAAGCTATACCAAGTCTTACGATAAGCATTAATTACATACATAAAAGATCATTTTTATTACAGTAGCAATAAACTTCCGAAATGCTTAAAGTAATTTTGGTACTTTCATTTTTGATGCAAAATTCATATAAAACAGACAAATTTAATAAGATGTGAAGGCAGATTTTCAGTGGCCAGAATGCACCAGAATGCACCATTTCACACTTAGGAATAAAAAAAAAATCTGGACCCCCCTAGCATACTCCCTCGCTTCGCTCGGCAATGGTCTCGCGGCAAAACATTGGGAAACCCCCACATCTTTGCCTCTGAATCCGCCACTGGTAAGAGCGATAGTATAACAATCTGAAGTCCAGGGTTTGAATCCCGGTCTAGCCCCAATTCAATTTTTATACTAAAAGCAATGATATTTTGTTTATTTCGTCTTTACTATTTTTCATGAAATTCCCACATGGTATGACTTCCTTTTCATATTTATCAAAGCCTAGAACACAGTTTCCAACACTAAGTAACAATTGTTGTCAGTGGTAAAAGGATCCTTGAGTTTTGTAATATTGAACGTTCACATGTCGATATATTACATGGAACAGTAATTTATTCTATCAGAAAAGTATCAACAGACTTTGATAACTTCACCACTGACTTGACATTTAAATACACATACATGCCATACCTTTCCGGTGCAAAATAGTGAGATCAGTGATTATTTTTAGTGAGATTTGGTCAAAAATAGTGAGATTTTTTCTCTGAATTCATGAGAAATTTGTGAGACATTTAAAACATAAATTATATAGCATATATCATAGTATTGAATCATTTGTGCTATTCTGAAGCCTCTAATTACTTTGTAATAGCCACAATTGAAGATTTTTTGATATTTTAAAGGATTTTAGGAAGGTTTACATGTGACATACGATCCAGATAAAGCTATCAATATTTATACATGTCCCATTATGATATCAGTAAATGGTCAACACCAATTTAACAACACATGTTATCTACAACACTTTTTGCTTGTTCTGGTTTCCTTTCAACCTTATGTACAAAGATTTTGTTTTTATTCTAGGTTCCTTACTTTCTTGCTAAGTTCACATCACCCCAACACAAACAGGACAGCCCAGCAGATGATAAACTTTAAAAGTTGTTACATAATACATGTATTCGTTTCCTCACCGGATCTATAACAAATTCATCTCAACCTCCTGGACTTAGCTAGTTATGTCTACTAAAATATAAACTTTATTTATTTTACAACAATATGAAACAAGTCATTTCAACTTATATTAATCACTCTTGTTGGCCCGGATGTCAGCGTGCGGGGGGTCTTGTTGTGGAAGGAAACCGGAGTACCTGGAGAAAACCCACATTGTCGGGCAGGTGACCCCATATCTTATCACGTCCGATCGGGGAATCGAACCCCGGTCGCCTTGGTGAAAGGCAAGTGCGCTATCCACTGCACCACCCGACCTACTGCAAACCTCTGTCATTTCTACATAAAAACACTAGACATTACATTTCATAAATAATTTATTTCCTTTCATTCTCACATACATCATCTTGCAAATGAACTTTTGGATGATCAGTATTAAAATTCAAATACATGTACATTGTACATATAAAGTATGCATAATTAGCACTTCAAAAAATGATAATATGCATCCTTAATGCCTGTGATACTACTGGTACCGATTATAGCATACATAAAGTTCAAGAAAGTCTCTTAAAATATATTATTTCTTCCCCTAATTATAATTGTAAAAGCCTTGAAGAAAGAAATTGTTGTAGATGATGTTACAAGGAAGAATTTCATGAAAATATTCCTGAAAAATTATCATGAAAACATCTGTAGCATTTGATTATCTTCCATTTAATTTCTTGCTTTTGTTCTAAATTCACAATTGTACTTCGATCAAATGTTAAGGTCACCAAATCTCTTTTAAAATATTATATTCTCTTTAATTGAATTAAATAAAAAATATCTTCAACAAATGGTATCTTAGTTCTAATCTGAATGTCTCAAAAAAAAAAAAAGTTTATGTAATCCAATTTTTATAAACACTATATGGTCAAAAACTTAAAACAGCCAAGCTTTTGTTATCATACACAAGACATTCTCGCTCACTATCAAATCCGCGTCCATCTATCTTCTGTCAGTGACATTCACAATCCTACCTCTCCTTGTCATTACACAGGGCAACATACACAACTTGTAAATGTTATTTGCGGAATCATAGCGGTTATCCACAATTTTTATAGTTACAATTTTTTTTTTTAATGAAACAATAATTATATCACTATATGACGTTTCTGGAATCCCTTGGACACAAATATCTCCAAAGGTATTTGACAGTCACTGAACTATGACCCAAGACAAGCTAAAACATAGCGTCATATAAACCAGTACTATACTGTTAATAGCCTAGGTTTGCAACATTATTTTTTTGTAAAGATCTCGCAACTACATAATTCATCACATTTAAACAACAAGATATATCCACTGTTTTTCCAATATTGTCACTTTGTACATTCAAATTCTCATAAAAACGATGTGCAGTATACACAAAAAATTGAAGATTTTTAGTATATACCACCTAATCCAAAACGATCTGTATGACATCAATAGTAACGTGTCGTGTCAAGTAATCCAGCGACCCAAGTAAAGTCTGGTCGTATTAAACGGTGTCTTCTTCTTCCCGTTGCCATAGGAAACCATCACTGAATTGAAATGTTTAGGTTGCCATAGCGATGCAATGCTGCATGTAAACCATCTGAATTTACATTCCCGCTCACGTAAACCTCTCTTGCAAGTCCATGATAAAGATAACGATAAAAACATGATTTTTGTCCATCACTTCAGTAATGACCATTTTATCTGTTCTTTAGCACTTTGAAGAACCTGCAAAAAAGAAAAAGAAGATTAGGCTAAGAAAAAACCCAAACAATAACTGACTGCAGAAGTGAGATTGACTCCCACTCATGTTCACAGTAAGATTCAGCATTGATTTTTTTTCTGTGTAGTCTTTTACTGGGTAATAGAAGTTTCATTTTTTTTCAGAAAAGTAATAAACATTCTTTGTTGAAAAGGATGCTTTGAAAGAATCGTTTGAAGATATGGTAACTGTATGTTTATATGTACAATGTGTTGCCTTACGTTACAACATATCATGCTCTGTAACATTAGCAAACCAAGTTAAGGGAGCAGTGATAATACAGTAACCAAATACAGTACTCTCTTCAAAACATTCAAATTTAATGCAACAAAATATCTGAATAAGATAGAGTGTCCCACCGTATACGATTACTGGAACATTGTTTTCCTGTTAAATTATGCTAGTTCCACTAAATTCATACAAAGAAAATTATAGATTGTGGGCCTTTTAAGGGAGTTTAAATAGAAATCATTAACTGTAATGTTGCATAACAGTTATAACATAACAAATATGACTAGTAGTGCAGTAGATAATCTCCTTGCTTCGTAATCAAGGGTTATGGAGATCAAACACCCATGGCAGATGTACATGTGGATTTGTGAAAAAGGAAATAAAAAATTATATCTTTCTTCCACATTTACCTCTTCGATGTCATAAAAGTGCAGGCAACAAATCCACATCAGAAGAGTTGAACATTTGAACTCTTCTGTGTTTGAGATACAACACAAAGGGTAGGGACTCTCGGCTTTACCACTTGAGTCACATTTAAACAGTTACTCATCAACCTTTTCTAATGTTAATCAAAGCTGCCTTTCAAAAAGTTTCTTCGCAGTTATTTGGAAACTGATTTGATGTCAGATCTGACCTGCTTCTTATCTAAACAAATCTGATCCAGCCCCATTCCAACCACACATACAAAACACACCTCTACCAACAATATAGTATGCCACAACCACACTGGACAAAGGGAGATAATCCTTAACTCCAGCACATTTAGACAACAAACTGTGATTTACAGGGATATCAAATATAGCCAGCTTTTTGTGCATAAAATCTTATTAACATTTTAAGATATATGTAATAGTTGTCTTAATTTTAAACTTGTATATCTCGATAAAAGAAATGACATGAGTTGAAGCCCTGTAACATCACCAGCTGGTCTCTCGTTTAGTTGGGGAATATGATCATGACATCATCTTTGCAGAAAAGACCAAACCATCAGCACATAACTAGCACTAGGCCTGATCGTTTTATTATTTTTTTTATTATCGGACCATATGCATCTATGATCCGATAATAAAAAACAAAAAACAAAACAAAAACGATCGAGCCTAGAAGCTACGGGTTCCCACAGCTAACCTAGCACCAAACTGTCTATTACATATTGTTTGGTCAAGAAAAACCACTTCGACTATATCAGTGTGTGGTAAACTTGATGAGCATATTTACATATTTCTTATCATGTTCATCGACACAATGATATCTACTAGTACAGCTATAAAAAAAATAAACAAGATGAAACTGCTGTAAAAATTGTCGGATAAACTAAGGCGAAAGTGAATGTACATAGGAACATGGGTGTATAAGCTACCACTGAACACTGCATACATACATTATGTATTTGTATGGGAAAGTGAAAAGTAAACTGAGTGACCCTCTAAACCAGAAGACGCCTTTAGTACTCACCTCCAGCTTTTTTGAAATTTGCTTTAACACAAGAAAAAATCAAACCGTGCACATATTAACAAGAATTTTGAATATGTAAACTTCCCTCCAATGTTATTGATATTTTTATCTTTGTTAATATATATTTTAATCAAATATACACTGTTCTTCCATTACTGCAAAACATATTATTAAGTGTATTTGCATACTCTGCCAACTAGCTTTTATTTTAACTTCTTAATAAAAATTGGACATTTGGGGGAAGTTTTATCATTATTATGGATTACAGGTTATTGCTTAAAGACTTGGAAGATGAAGGTTCAGGTAAGGATTTATAAACTTTTGCATTAAAATGCAGATTAATGGGGTAGGTATGTACAGAAAATACGAATTCTGGAAAACAAGTTCCCAAATTTACTTCATAGGAAAAAACAAATTTTGGTTTGGAAATTAAGTTTAGGTCCACAACAATCTAGGCCAGTGGAGATGTGGGCATCATGCTTTGAGACACTCATTACCATATTTCTTACTGTTTCAGTCGCTCCAGATTTTGTGCTATCAAATCAGAAGTAACTCTTAAGGTCCCATATTAATATGTATCTCTGATCAAAGTGCTACAGAATAGCAATAGCTGCTAATGTACTTCAGTCATAACCCTTCCCATAGTGGGATTATAGTGGTAAAAGAAAAGTCCTAGAAAAATTTGACAGATACTTTCATTTAGAGCTTAGGTATAATATGTATCTCTGATCAAAGTGCTACAGAATAGCAATAGCTGCTAATGTACTTCAGTCATAACCCTTCCAATAGTAGCAATAGCTGCTAATGTACTTCCGTCATAACCCTTCCCATAGTAGCTATAGCTGCTAATGTACGTCAGTCATAACCCTTCCCATAGTGGGATTATAGTGGTAAAAGAAAAGTCCTAGAAAAATTTGACAGATACTTTCATTTAGAGCTTAGGTATAATATGTATCTCTGATCAAAGTGCTACAGAATAGCAATAGCTGCTAATGTACTTCAGTCATACCCCTTCCCATAGTAGCAATAGCTACTAATGTACTTCAGTCATAACCCTTCCCATAGAGGGATTATAGTGGTAAAAGAAAAGTCCTAGAAAAATTTGACAGATACTTTCATTTAGAGCTTAGGTATAATATGTATCTCTGATCAAAGTGCTACAGAATAGCAATAGCTGCTATTGTACTTCAGTCCTAACCCTTCCCATAGTGGGATTATAGTGGTAAAAGAAAAGTCCTAGAAAAATTTGACAGATACTTTCATTTAGAGCTTAGGTATAATATGTATCTCTGATCAAAGTGCTACAGAATAGCAATAGCTGCTATTGTACTTCAGTCCTAACCCTTCCGATAGTGGGATTATAGTGGTAAAAGAAAAGTCCTAGAAAAATTTGACAGATACTTTCATTTAGAGCTTAGGTATAATATGTATCTCTGATCAAAGTGCTACAGAATAGCAATAGCTGCTAATGTACTTCATTCATAACCCTTCCCATAGTAGCAATAGCTACTAATGTACTTCAGTCATAACCCTTCCCATAGTGGGATTATAGTGGTAAAAGAAAAGTCCTAGAAAAATTTGACAGATACTTTCATTTAGAGCTTAGGTATAATATGTATCTCTGATCAAAGTGCTACAGAATAGCAATAGCTGCTAATGAACTTCAGTCCTAACCCTTCCCATAGTAGCAATAGCTTCTAATGTACTTCAGTCATAACCCTTCCCATAGTGGGATTATAGTGGTAAAACAAAAAGTCCTAGAAAAATCATTCTACCCTCATATATTTCAGAAAGAGGATGTAATTCTTTCTCATACCTTTTTCAATTTTTCAATTCTTGTATTCTTCAAAACAAAATCTCCAACTTTGATTTCTCAGGATGTAAATGTCATTGACCATGTATTTACTTTGACAGATACTTTCATTTAGAGCTTAGGTATTTTATTATTTTTTTAACACAACAGAAAAATCCTCATTTTTGACTTATGGAGAATATCAAATTTACATTTCTTTCACAATATCTATACTACATGTTGATTTCTTTCTAATACATGTATACATCTATTTCAATACAGGAGTATTTTTTTCTTGGATGGCAAATGTAAAAGAAAATCGACATTTGACATTAATGATTGATATTTTTTGTAAACACAGTAAACTCTGTGTATTAAAGATATAATCCAGACACCATTTGAATTGATATTTGTGCTATAGCAACATTGGTCCTGTCATTTGAGATGAAATGTGCAGATTGCAAAGATACTAATGAGATATGTTTAACAGTTGTTACTTTTTTAACTTTTCAAGTTGTTTAAAAAGATAATAAAAATATGTGAGGTAAAATATTGTCCTCCTTTTTAAAAATGGTGAGAACATTTGGTTTGAATAACTATATGCAAAGCAGTGAAAGATTTTCTCCATCTGACCAGTTTAGTATCTTAGTGCACTATACAGCCCACCACAATCAAACTGTTTACACTACACAACAACACCTACACTATATAGCACACAGCACTATCTGTAACCGAAATTTCCAGATGAAATCTACTCTCTAAATCGTTCCACCAAATCTACACTCTATAACGCCTGTAAACAATTTATAATGGTAGCGTTTACTGGCCCAGACAAGGTTTACATGGACAGATATGTGTTGACGAGGAACACATGCTACCAATGTATGTGAGTGATAAGTGTTTACAGAGATAAGAGGCGTTTGTACCTGTGCCACTGTTTGTTCCCCGAGTGGTATGTCGTCTGACCTGATGGCTACCTTCTGTACTATTGATGTGGAGTCAGCGTCCAAGATTATCCTGCCACAAAGATAGAATATTTTCATCTATGATTGATGTGTAAATCAATTTCTCATTACTTAGTGGAAATATATTTTAAGTAACAGAAAGTCATTAGTAATTCTTATTATGATTTAGAGACTATTTTACCATTCTTGAATAGGTACCTTGAATAATTTCAGTACCTTGGTATATGAATAAAATTTTCTCCACTGTTGCTTGTTTACCATCTAGTAAATGATTATGTTCATAACTTGAATTGAAAGACAGATTTTGTTTTGTAATAATGCCAACAATCATCTTCAAGAAGACAAATATCCACATCTCATCACGATAATAGATAAGAAAGTTTACAGAAGTACAAGTATGCATACCCGCCATCACAGATCTCATCAACAGCCAAATATACGGCATCCAAGTTCTCAAACAGAGCCCTCTTCTCCACGTTTTTACGCAGAATTTGGTTGACAGCGTCATACAAGGCATTGAGAACACTTGCTAAAATCAGCTGAAAACAAAGGTCACCTTTTGTTCAATATCAGTATTTGCAGTTTTACATAGGTGTATTGCCAATTGTACAGGTAAATATTTTCTGGAACATTTTGATAGTTTTTGCAGTACACAGGCAAAATTTCTTGAGGTAAATTTGACCTGAAAAAATCTTGACCCGAAATTGCTCTTTTCAGGTACCAGTAATGTGACCTGAAATTGGCAAGAATTTACCTTAAGAAATTTTGCTGGTATATGAACATGTATTGACATTTTATAAGATATCTACACAGACGCATTTTACCTCTATTATAAAATGGTTTTATTGTACAATTTGTTGTATAAATACAACACTTTTAATTAATATTATTTTGTCAAAGCATTGTATATATTGCTGGAGACGACAACAGAAATAGTTTTCATTATTTTTATTTAGTATCTGTATCTCAAGTTAGCAGGGACAAGTTCTGATACATGTATTACTTGTAATTCTTACCTCATTTTCTTGTGAACTTCCCACAACATAGAAAAACAGATCAACGTTGCTCTTGTACACACATGTAAGTCCTTCAAACATTATGATTTCAGCTGAATTTGAATGAAAAAAAAAAAATTAAAGAACAAAATATAAGTGTAAAACAGCTCTTTCATATGCTTTAATCAAAACAATATGTGGAAAAAACCTGGTAAATTCAAATTTCAAGTTATAAATGGTCTTATAATCTTATATTCACAACACAATAGTATATACAAACTGCATGTACATATGTACTGCTGCTATAGAAAATGGTACAATATTTTTAAAACCACCCTTCATGGCCCAAGTAAACTCTTGATCTTACTTTTCCAATTTTTCTAAACAAACATTTGAGTAACCCTGACTTTCGGGTAGGTATAATAATATACATGTAAAACAGGAAAACAAGAGTTAGTCATTAAATTTCCACTTACAATTGGCCCTATGTGTTTTGCTGAACAAATTCTTCTCAAACTGTTTTTGTTCTTTGGGTGTAGGGAACTGGTCATCATAATACTGGAGGATATAAAGAAACATTTTCAATATCTTATCACATGTTACCATGTTATTCGGTAAATACACCATGATATATCATATATTCTACAATATACTCACGTACTATGATCTAGTATGATCATATGAAATGATAAGGAAACAATATGTGAGACTTCCACATTGTATTATAGGATTTATATTTCAATAGAATATGTGATTAAAAGGATCTTAAATTTGTTTCTATTATGAAATCTATTATGAAACTTAGAGAGGTGCAGGGAGTAGAGCCCACACCGTTCATTTGTACTTAGGTGGATATGAGGGTCCTTAACCCTTCCTGAAGAAGCTCCCTATTGGGGCAAAACTGGTCAACTAACACCTTATAAATTGAAGAAAACCTACTCTGATGCTATTGTGATTGATACCCTTACCTATTGTGAAACTTGAAACATTTTTTTTTTCATTTCAGCTCTCTCTGACTGAAGCTCGCTCATATAGAAATATTTTAGACATAATTCACACCGAAGAAATTAAAGTACTTAATGCCAGAAATGACATGAAAATTTGTCGGCTAAGTTTAATTAAGCAATCATAAGTCAGAGTTGACCTTACCAATAGACAAGTGAAATCGTTTTGTTTCAGAACTGAACACCTACCTTAGCAAGCATACGGTTGCCATCATTATCCAGGATGGCCATTGCCTTCACCGTGTACAAAGAGGGTTCCTGTGGCAGATTAAAAAAAATGATAGAATTTAATAAGTGTGTATGACTGTTTCAGATAAAGGATAGTTTGATGGCTATACACAGTAAATAGGTTTCAGTAAGTTTTCCTGTAAAGAATATATAACAATTTTATGTCCAGCTAGTTTAATATGCATGTTGAAATTAGCTTAAACAAGAATTACATAGAAATAAATCTCTCGCCTGTTCCTGCTTTGAGTAATTTGAGAATCGCAGCAAAATACAGAAACTTAATATTCATGATGAGCAAACTTAACTTGTGTTTATTTATTTTAAAACTTTCAAATTCAAATTGAATCTTAATTGGAATTTAAATTCAGAAATTGTAAATTAAGTTTTAAGTACTTCTAAGAAGAAAACATCTTTACACAGAATTAAGGATACTGAAAAAGTAATTGAACCAAATGCAAGAAATCAAGGAAATATTTACTGTCTTAATCGAAGTAGGCAACCAAATACCCATGAATTATTTAAAATTAGAGTTCAGTTGGTCCAGCCCACAAACTTGCTAAACACAAAAACTTAACATTGATGATGAAACTGAAATGTCACTTGCCAACCTGACACCCACTATTTGAAACAATGGTTGGTCACTGGCACCACCAGGAAAGGCTAAATGTACAGCAAGACTGGGATTCGAACCCAGGAGCTTCAAAGTCAGACTGTTTTGATGGACGTCTTCAGCAACTTATTTGCAAACAATGGACCCAGTCCAGTTTAGTTACACATATATATCATTATTGTATTTGAACTTGTCATATACTTGTAGCAGAACTGGGCTGCATTTGCGTATCCCGGTTGAAATGGTACGTGTGGCGCAGAAACATTCCACAATGACGAACGCATTTGGACTGTTCTATAAGCAGAGCTAAAAATGCATAGTTTTGGAGAATAAAAAACAATGTATCGAGAATAATATACCCTTCTTTCATGCGTCCACTGAATTACATAACGTATCTTAAAAACTACATGTGGCTTGACATTGTTTTAGAAAGAAATAATGCAAACTAGCTATAGTCAGCATTTAAGTTTTGGTCAGGCGCATCTGGACTCCTCAATTTACACATGCCAAATTTGCCTGAGGTCAGCCTCGGTCAAGATCTGTGCCTGTCGTTTTCTTTACAGGCTTAACCGTTTCAACCAGATATGCTAATATACCCCTTGACTGGGTCAATCGCCGGCAACCAGGTAGCTCAGCGGTAGAGCGTCAGGCTGGAGAGCCAAGGGTATGAGCCCCAGCGACGGCACTATCTTCATCACTATTCCTCTTCCTATTACAGAGCGTCTGGTCCGTCTAAGAGTTTATTGGGATATTTTACTGAGTTTCAAATAAAAAACATGGAACAATTACAAGAGCTGGAACTCATAGCATTCCTTCTTTTGTATATCTAGCTTTTAAGAGCAATCCCTCTTTTGTATATCTAGCTTTAATGATCATGAATTAAAACGCTTCAATACTGCTAACCTTCTGTTCTTTTGAGAGTAAATGAGGGGGGGGGGGATATGTTATGATATGCCGGATAGCACTGCAATGACAGTGTGAATGAACATTATCCCAATATTTAAGTATAAAATCAAGATGCTTATAAGCTGCTTCTGTGACATCTTTTGGTTAAAATTTAGCAGCACAAACCATCAGTAATGTTAATTTCTTACCAGAATACCACCGTCCATGGTTTCGTGTGCTGTCGACTTGACGTGGAAGTGCTCGTCAGCGTTGAAGGGGCGCACGAATAGTGTTTCCTCAAATACAAACACTGAAATGATCATGACTTATAAATAAATCGAAGTTTTATTTTAACTATACTAAAAGAAAATATCAATTATCTGTAATTTTCCAAATATAAATTTGCTGTGTGTTTTCTTTTTAATTTTGTATTTCTTATAATATAATCAAAGGAGAACATTCGCTGCGGACCTGCTCACGCCAAAATTTCTCCAAGATGGCGGTCCAAAGAAAGAAAGACGGATCTCCTAATGTTAAATTTTATGAGGCCGTGGAAACGATAGCACAGTTCGATTCAGTCAGAACTTGGCTTCATAAAAATTGTAAAAAGGTAGATATTCTCCTGTGTGTCAATCATAAGCACTATTGTAAATTACACCTTCGATTCGCGGTATGAATTCATCCCGGCATCTCTTTGTTCAGAATTTGCAGAAGTCGATGTTCGTTACAGTAGCTTGCAGTGTTTTTTGTATATCGGCAAACATATACCTAAATATTGACCTTGCTCTTTATTTATCTTATTCTGATATTTAAACTCGGTTGTACCCGCCATTTTACAGGGATTCTTTTACATCCACCAACTTACTGGTCAACTTATTTTTGTGTGTCATTTGCAACACAACAACGTACTATTAAACTCTTTTTTTATATTTCAGTACACGCAAGCAGACCCACCTACCAATAAAAGTTTGGCCAACCTGGTTATCCAGCTGCTGCAGTTTCAAGAAGATGCATTCGGAAAATCTGTCAGCAACTCTGCCCTCACAAAACTACCTGTATGTGTAGACGCCCAGAGGTCTCCATATCCCCCTCTCAGTTCACAAATCCTAGCATGTATTCTCAAATCCCCCACATCATTTTTTTCAGATTGAAATTTAAGTCACCTTATACTGTAGTGAATTTGAAACTGATTTTTTTTTCTATATTTGCTTTTTTATCAACCAATTATTGGTCCTGTGTTGACAGGCCTTTAATCAAATAATAATAATAATGCTAGTGTAGATTGATACAGGATAAAGTTAAACAGGGTTAAAATCACCAACAAGTAAGAAGCAAAGCGGGGAAAGGAGCAGGGGGATAAGTAGTTGCAATACTCTGGCTCTAACCCCTGTTTTAAAAAAAATACCCGAACTGATTAAATGTGAACCTGTAAGTTGAATCCCCAGACTATTTTGAGAATATTTGAGAGTAATATAATTGGCATACCTTAATTTTATATATCAACTTTTACTTTATAAGACCAGTCAACATTTACTGTTCCAGATTCATTATACAGTGGAACCTGCTTATTATGATATCCTATTTGCCAGAGAAAAATATCATAATAACCGATCAAGCTGTTTTCGATCGTTTGTTTGTTGTCTGAACCGGAAGTGAGATGCCCTAATTCAATCCGACATAGATTGATGTGGAAACATGGAAAAATATAAATACAAAAAGATAAATTAATAATTGAAATAATTTTTCCATTGTTGTTTATATCAGCGTGTTGGAAAAATTAGAGAATTTTCGTTTTTCTGCGTTATGATCAATATGTAAATTCTACTTTCACTTTCAAATAACATCGAGCATATTCCTAAAGAACCATCTTTATACTACATCCTATACTTGTAGCTAACAATATCGTAATGTTACAGTCAATAGGATATAAGAAGTGATATAAATAGTCATGATTTACCTATTTTGCAACGAGAAGTTGTGTAACATTTTGTCCCGTAAGCGTAAACATATTTTGCCGCGCTATGTCAATTCAATCACGTGACAATCACATGCCTCGCAAGTCGTGCGGTGAAATCAACTTGCAAAAAAACAATTACAATTAAAAACACAAAATATTCCCTTTTCAACAATAATCAAATATTGTATTTAACGAAAATGGTGTAAATTGTAAGTAAAGCAGCCGTCGTAAGTTGTTTACGACAATAACGTAATTATTTTATTGATTTCCGGCACCATGCTGTCGGGGCGGTATGTCCCGAAATTGACGCTTTTTAAACAGAAACACGGGGAAATCAACTTCTAATGCAATTAAGAAACTATTACTTAAATGATTAAAAACACAGGTCTTCCTTCTGAAGTAATATTTTCATTGAAATCGGCATATTTTTTTCTCATGACGTGTCAAGGTAACCATGAATATTTGTGAAAGGTATGTTCGTTTCCTTATCGGAATTTGTAGTCCTACAGCAATTAACTGCACCAAATGTTTTAAGACTAAAATGCATGACCAGCAAGCGATGGTCGATCTATTGTTTTCCGCTGACTTGGGAGAAGCGAGGTGAGAAAAGTTTACCGTGACTGGACAGATGGTTACCTCGGGTGATGTACAGTTAGCCAGACCTATTGCGTAATGGTCCAGGTGTTTCACACAGACAACATACCTAAGTTTTACCTTATAAAATCTGTTCACTACAGAAAAAAATATCATAATAAGCGGGGTCCTACCTTTGACTATATCATAATAAACGATATTATTTTGGTTAGTTAAAGAAGGAAAAAATTGGTACATTGGAAAAATATCATAATAACCGATATAATATTAAAACCGATATCATAATAAGTGGGTTCCACTGTACCTTATTTGGAGGATTTTCAAAATAGATGTATCAGTAGCTTATTTTATTTTTAGTTCTTTAAACAATTTAATTGAGTAATTAAATTTATGAGAATAATAAAATACCTACAATCACTAAACCAATGACTAAGGGCCTGTTCCTCTATGCGGAACAACTGGTTTGTCTGTTTTTAAATGTAACAATTTCGGGTATAAGTCCTAGCGGACCTGCAAATATTTATGCAGGCATTGCAAGGCTTTGTCAAGGCTCGTCTGAAAGCAGCATTAGATAACTAGGTCCGACCTTATTTATTAAACGATTAACTGTGGTCTGACCATACCGGTTTAACGAAAATGACCTAAATGTAGGTCTTTGTAGAAGTCATTCTTTCTCGGGCACATTTTTGTCCTTCTGCCCCATGGGGATATCATATACACTTATTATGTTATTTTATATATTTTTCAGATGAAATGTTTCTTAGACTTCAAAGCTGGAGGAGCTTTGTGCCACATCATTGCTGCTGTTTATAAATTTAAAAGTGACCAAGGATGGTAAGTCAAGTATACTACTATGGTTTGTTTTTACTTCTTATTTAATGTCCAAATACTGAATTTAAATCTACAATGTATAACTGTTATCCCCAGTGTTTTGGAGTAAACAAAGGTAGCACTCTAAAGTCTGCATCAGTTCCGTGCTATCACAAGGAGACAAACACGAACATATCGCAGCCTCCCAAAACACACACGCAAACACTACACGCATGCATCTTGCACACAGGGGAGGCTTAAATGACCATAGCTGTTGATGGGACGTTAAACAATACTAAACCAAACCAAGGGATATCAATGTGGGTGTGTCTGGCCATCAGGTACACTAGAGATTTTATTCAATAACTATCCTTAAATGGTTCAATTTCATCCAGCTTTTTGCAATGCTGAACTCAATGGGTATCTTGTAACAAATGCCTTAAAATACAGTTAACAATTTATTATTTACATCATAGATATTTAAAACATAAAATACATAGCAAATAATTACAATAGCCTAGGTCTAGCTAATTACAATAGCCTAGGTCTAGCTAACATAGCGAATACTCCCCTACCTACATGTAAAGGCCGACCCCCTGTACTACCTAAGACCTAACTATAATTTGAAAGCTAATGCTGAATAAGCACATTCATATTGGCAAGATTCAGGCTAAATTCAAATGCAAGCATATTTCACATTATTAAAAAGGATAGTTGATTTTCAGAAAATCATTTAACAAAAAACATGAAAAATATCCATCTATTCATTTAATTTTAGGTTTATGAAATGATTGAAATTACAACTGAAGTATTTATATTTTTTTTTTATCAGGAGAAGATTTGACTTCCAGTCACCATCACGAATGGACAGGAATGTGGAGATGTTCTTACAAATAGAGAAGTCACTTGTACAAAACAAGTGTCTGACAATGCCCTGTATATTCTTACGGCCGGACATTGACAAATCTCTTATGCCAAAGTTAAGGGACATGATAAAACGTCACCAGGGGACACTTGCTGAGGATACCGAGGACGCCACTCACATTATACATCCTCTACCTGCCAACAGTGATAAGGATGGTAAGAATGATTTACAAATCCATATTTGACAATTCCAAACTTGATCTTCAGATGAATTTCAGAGATTTAAACGGAGTCTTCTGGTTGACATTTTCTTTAAAAATGTGTCTACTTTTGCTGTAGAGTTGTGTATAAATTACACTGTACTAAATTGGTTGATTTTCTAATAAGATACATGGTATTAGTGAATCATACTTGGTTAACATAAAACCAAATATTTTTGAAAAAGAGTATTTTTATGGTCTTTTCTAAGCATTACATTGTCCCGTTAATCAATTAACAGGGATGTGCCTTTGTTCTGTAAACTGTGCTTCAAATTTGAAGTGTTAATGTTTAAAGCAGAAATGGAAAATATGTATAATTACCAAGTTCGTTATTTGACCATCTAATCTGCAAGACATCAATCAAGCATTTTGTTTCCTATACAGAAGAGTGGATCCGTCCAGTGATGAAGAGAGACCGACACGCCCTCATACACTGGTGGTATTTGCCTGATAGGTCAGTAGCTATATATACATACTATCCTCTTTTCTCCAACAATTCATTCTTTTTCGTACCCTTTCTTCTAACCTTATAAGTCTATTGCATTGCCTTAACAGCATATGTAAATTTATTTTGGATTTTACATCTTACCAACATGTAATGTCACATGATGATTGATAGGGTAGCATATAACCAACAGCCTGTAAAGTTAAAATTTCCAAAGAAAACACTATCTTTGAATAGACATTGAAGAATAAGAAATAAAATTGAAAAATATATATCAATACTAACAATAGATTACTACATTGAAACATGTAGGGAGATTTGTTATATCTTATATATATGCCGTCTATCTGTTGTGGCTTAAAACTTACATAACATTATTAAAATACCGAAAAGTGTTGAGTGATCTGAAACTCTTTCTGATAGGATCTAACGATTAGTTGAAAAAATAAAAAGCATCAAGTTATTTAAACGAATTTCTGCACCGTAAAATAAATCTGTCCCAGCCATGCTGTCGTTGTTACGGCTCACCGAGTATGTCTGTTAGTCATGACGTGTGGATGTCCATGTTGAAGACTATGCTTTTGATTTCTAATCCAGTATATCTGTGTTACAGTTATGACACATGGGCAACGGATGTACATGTAGAAGACGACCCTCCAGAAAAGTCCCATCATGGAGCCTGGGAGGTAAAACAGATAACAGAAATCAGATAGATGAATCTTTTATTTGAAAATGGGTATGAATATGGATACAACTAATATTAAGAATAGCACCAATTATTGTATCTTGAGTGTTTTTTTCGTATTATAAATTACTTTTTCTGATAATGTTCTCTGCATGTCTAACTTTGTACAGGTAACTGCCAGATGGCTTTTGGATCTTGAAGAATTCAATGAGTGGATGAATGAAGAAGATTACGCAGAAGAAGAGGTTGGTAGATTGGGACCTCATGAAACCCCCATGGTGTCTTAGTGCAGAAGTTATATGTTTGTAAAACATTTAATGACAGAATCTGGAAAATATATTGATGCGAAGTTATGTGTTGTAATAGTTTATTATTTTATATAACATGTACATTTCATCATGTTATTTTGTGTTTTTCACGGAAACAATCTATTAACAAATGAAAGTACAGAGAGTAAACATACAACTTCAATAAATGAAGTTTACTTCCACCAGCTGACTGCAAATAATTGTGTCAAAAAAAATGAGTATTTATAAAACTGCAAAACAAAATATTTGTGAATGTTTCTTCTTACACTGTTTAAGCACAAGTTTGATAAAATGCTGATTATCTGAAACTGTTTAGCCTAGCTTTCAGTTATTCAAACCTTGATCAGTGTATCCAATGCATTAGTACTGATCATGAGACACCGGTTTGCCGAATGACCATTTATCTGAACTATGTGTATCTTCCATATGATTCAGATAATGGTCTGTTTACTGTGCTTGTATATGAACAGTGTGACAAGAGTCTTTTCTAGGTTCTGAATGTAAACCAGTGATCCACGTTAACTGTATTTTTGTTTATGGTTTTTCTGTTGTAGTTTGAAACAAAAAGGAGCAAGAAAACAAAGATAATGAAGATGACGGTAGAAGACGTAAGTTGAAATGAACTGATTATATAGAAAGATTATCAAGATGAAACCCTTTCATGTAAAAAGATATTAAAGTTTTAAAGTTAATGAAATATCTCATCCATTTTAAGGGAATTAACATGTGTAATGTATGAATTCATGTAACTGATGTTTTTTTGCTTTAAAATTACTTGTAATGTTTAGTTTCACCATAAAGGTGACAAACAAATTGTTTGCGATTAAGTTACACAGCTATTTTAATATCTATATTAATCGACTTGATTTTTTCAACATTAGGGATTGTAACATATAATCAGAACTATAATTATGATGTATATTCACCCCACTGGTTTACAGCTTATCCCAAGTCAGGATAGTGACAGGCGAGAAAAACGGGACAAAAAGACGAAGCGGAAACGTTCACCCTCACCACCAGTCATAGAGAAGAAGAAACGCAAGAGGTAAGTTCCTAACAATTAGGAACAAATACAGTTTGGAATCATTCTTACTCTGATTGAATTTATTTTAATTTATAGTGTAAAAGCACAAAGATTTGCATAAAAAGTTCCCTTATAATATTAACTTGGTGTTTATAATATTAACTTGGTGTTGTAACTTACAAAATTGTCCTCTGTATATATGAAGATGTTACTCTCATTTACAAGATTACCTTTATATATAACTTTGATAATGTGTTTGACAGTGGGCGTACCTCCACTGCCCCTGGATCCACAAAGAAGAAAACCACTAAAGACGAGGATGAGGAAGATTTGACCAAGGACATGGACAATCCATCACCCGAAACCAACATTCAGGAAGTTCAGATAACCAAGCAACGTAATCCTCAACTATTCTTCACATGTTTGTCGGGGATATTCATGAACTAATAGTCCAGTCAGTTTTATTACAGGGATGTGCTTGGTAGAGTAATTCTGATTTCATCCAAATTTTAATTTTTGATGGGTGACTGGGATTTTCATCCCTTCCAATTGATGTCTGAAGCCTCCCTTACCAAGCAGAGTGGTGACCATTTTATTTTTAAAAAAATGTTTGGACAGATTATCCTATAATCTACCCTGATGGTAAAATAGAAACCCAGAAACAGAAAAATCATAAAAAAATCAGTTTTTAAGAATTAGATACAGAACATGAAATGTTAAGATTATATGAGTGATCTGTGATATATTGTAGCGAGTAGCTCGCGGAGTACCAAGGACACAGAGAACCTGCCAATCAAAGGTGGTACTGTAATGGACCTGGACGAAGAGACCAATGACAAGGTTAGTACAGGAAAACCACACACTGCAAACTGTATGACTTTTATTTGGATAAAAATTCTGAGAAAATCGGGTCGGAAATGAACATCCTATCTACATATTTCATTGTTGAAAAGTTGTGATTGACCTGCATTCAGACATTGTTATTTCAAGTTGTTTAAATGGAATATTGAAATAAATAGGGTATTTCAGATATATAAACTACATTATGTAGAAATGAACTGTTTACAGAATACTGTATAGCGTTTTAAGTTCGCTTGGTCAATATTTCATGGCTTCGTATTCGGTACATATTCGTCAGGATTAAATTTCGCTGTGCACCCGAATCCCATGCGTCTTGCAAAGTATTTTGAGGATCATCATTGAAGTGTTAAACCTCGAAATACAGCTAAACCATTTGAAAACACTGATCAACATCCGCCAGTGACTTCACTCAAAAGAAAATCAAATGTGTATGTACCTTTGTAGGAGTAAACAGTAATAAATTAATTACCTACTGTGTATACATTAATATGTTGTGACCACGTATATGTAATTGTTGTTTTTACATGGACTGCCGGGTTGTCTGGTGAAAAACTGATTCAAGTTCATTTAAGCTTGCATAACAGCTCTGGGTTATAAGTTTTTTCAACATGTTGTGATAAGGTCTGTAAAAGTGGTTAACATTTTTGATAATTTCGCTGGTGTTTAGAATTCGCGGGTATTAGTCCAAGCAAAAATATAGCAAAATTATAACCCCCGCGAAATATAACAGCTATTCAGTACCTTGAAGGTGTGTGATTATCTGAGTGTGAATTTATATTTTGTGTTTGTGAACTACAGTTCCCCGAGGGCGAGGGAAAGGTCGAGTCAGTAGAAGTGCAAGAGGAGGTGCCTAAGGACAAAGAAGAAGAGGAAGACAATGTTACAGAACAAACTCACCACATAATCATCCCTAGCTACTCAGCCTGGTTTGATTACAATGGTATCCATTCCATAGAAAAGCGAGCCTTGCCAGAGTTCTTCAACAGCAAGAATAAGTCAAAGACACCAGAAATGTAGGTTGAATTCATGAAATGCATAGAAAGGAAACACATCAATTATTACAAAAATAGATTATATTTCACTATTTTGTCCTTTTCCAAAAAAGAAGTAAACATTTTGCTGTTATAAAGTGAAATATTTTGTACCATTCCACTTGTTTCAGTTCAGTAGCCTGGTTTGCAGTACCACTTGTCTGTTTGTTTTTCAGATACATGGCATACCGTAACTTTATGATTGACACATACCGACTTAATCCCACGGAATACCTGACCAGCACGGCATGTAGGAGAAATCTGGCCGGCGACGTTTGTGCAATAATGAGGTGAGATAGACTTTAGATGATCAGAGTACATGTAGACATTAAAATTATATATATATTTTTTTATAAAGTTTCAACTTTTGGTCATGTGTCCTGAACTGAATCTAGTTCCTGAAACTTAGATATCATAGATGTATTTGAAGACATGCAGATTCTCATACATTACAACATATCTTGAGGTCTAAAATTAGTAATAATACGTTTTTCTGAAGCGCATTTGCTGAAAAATATCATAAACAATTCTATTCAGAATTATGGAAGAATTTTAATATCCTAATTTTTCCTATATATTATATACAGAGGATGTCCAGGGGTTAAATCACTAAGGACAGGTTGGGACAGTTTGTATCAAATTCAACCGGCAAAGTGGTTATCTTAGCATTTATCGTTAGGTTTACCTCTGAAGTTGTATATTGATGACATTCCTCATTAAATTGTTAAGTGTTTTTTTCCAAAACTTTTATGAAAACGAAAGTTTCTAAATAACACTTAATTACACTGTAGCCACACAAATCCACAGTTGTTTAAATGTCAATTGTTTTCCTCCAGGGTCCATGCCTTCCTAGAACAATGGGGTCTACTTAACTACCAGGTGGACGCCGACAACAAACCATCAGCCATGGGACCTCCACCAACCTCACACTTCCACATCATGGCCGACACACCCTCAGGCCTCGCCCCAGCCAACCCGCCAAAGATCAACCAGGTAGAGCAGTCACTTCATAATTGTATGGGATGAAGGTCTTAATGATTCTGAAGAAATATGAAAAGTGACAAAAATCTCGCCTTCAACCTAAAAACATTATCTTTATTGTGCTTTAGTATCTTTATTTTGCTTTAATTTCTCATTTCTTTGGTGACAACAATAGTTGGCATCAACTAGAAAAATATTTAGACCTGTCCAATCTTTCCAAGCCCTTTCACAGACGAAAGCACTGCTCATTTTGTGCATATATCTAACCTCTTGAGAAATTTTAAGAAAGTGTTTAAGCGCTGTATGTCAAATACTGACTCGATTTCTGTCTCACACAGCCCTCAGCAGCCAAACAGATTGTCAGTTTTGACGGAGAAAAGGACAAGGAGCGAGAGGGAGACGACAAGAAGGAACTGTCCAACTTCAGTCTCAGAATGGACATTTATGCTAAAAAGGCACTGAAGGTAAATTATTTATCAATTAATATTTTTCAGGAAGTTTTGTAGGAATATATATTTTTGGTGCATTCCTGTCAGAAAATGACAAATTGCAAAAGCAAAAACAAATTTGGGACTAAAAGTCTGCTGCTTTTGTAAAAAAAATGTTTCACTGAGTTATGCATTCATCCAACAAGAGCTACTTTCAAGCAATAGAAATTAAACCAATCTTGTTAATTTCAAGTGGTCTGATCAAATAAATGAACATGATATAATACTAAGTAGATGAGTGTTCAGAAATGCTGTAAGAGCCTTGGTAAATCTCTGTCCCACTGCTATGTTAACAGGACAAGGGTGCTGCAACTCGGTCCCGGGAGTGGACGGACCAGGAGACTCTCCTGTTACTGGAGGCTCTGGAGATGTACAAGGATGACTGGAACAAGGTCTCTGAGCATGTGGGCAGTCGCACACAAGATGAGTGTATCCTACACTTTCTCCGACTTCCCATCGAGGATCCTTTCCTTGAGGAGGACTTCGGCCATCTTGGTATGCTAGTATATATATAATACATGTTTTACTGAACTTTATTCACATTTTCCTGTAAATTATGTTATTTCCTGACTCCAGGCAAATATTTGAAAAATCAATAAACACCTGATGAAGTGTTCATTGTAAATATATGAGAAATCAATTAAAATCCTTGGAACTGTGACCAAGGGCCTTTCGATTTGGGTAGAATGCAAAAGTTACTCAACTGTTTACAGTATTGATTAAAAAACAAAATATCCTTGTTAGTTACTTAAAACGTCCTAACCTTTGACAAGAATCGATGTCCTTCTAACTGTAACATCCTAATCCAGGGTTTAAAAACACTAGTTTATTCTTATTTGAGTGAATTTCCCTGTAGACAACAAGACTGTGTATAATGATTCATGAACAATAATTTCTATTGCCTCATTGTTACAGGACCTTTGGCATTCCAGCCAATCCCATTCTCCCAAAGTGGAAACCCCATCATGTCAACTGTGGCCTTTATTGCATCTGTCGTCGACCCACGCGTAGCCAGTGCTGCAGCCAAGGCTGCTCTAGGTAAGTTAAAGTGTTCCACCGCCTTTGAATGATATTTGTGATGCTGAGATTACCTCCTCTTTGAACAGTTTATATATAATGGCACAATGAGGTTTTGTCACCATCTCATTGAAACTTGTTATTATGTTTAACTTGAATGGATTATCATAAAAATTCATTTCACTCCGGTGTACCTACTGAAATAAGGAATTAATGAAATCCAAATGCATGTAATATGTAAATTAATGAAGCTGCATGATGCATGATGCATTAGATACATTTCCTATGATTTATAACAGGTAAAATATGTTTTATTATTTCAAGATTGAAGTTACAAAGTCATGTGGTGTTATGGTTTTGCAATTATCTATCTGATGTGTAACACATTTTCGCACCCTGCCTACAGAGGAGTTTGCTAAGATGAAGGACGAAGTTCCCCCAGCCCTGACACATGCCCACGTTAAAATGGTGGAAGAAGCGGTGAAGGACGGCAGGGTTGTGGATCCAGTGTTTGGCCTGGAGAAGAGCGGCATTGCTGGTACAATTATTGAGAAAGAAGAGCCCAAAGATGGTGAGTGACATCGTTTGTCTGTTGTCTGTCTCTGTCAGATTTTGTCTCCATGTTGTATCCCTCTACAGCTTCTAAATGGCATAGTGTTGATATTCCAGGTGTTACGCTCACTTACATTCTCTGCACCCCTTGAGTGTGTCATGACAAAATCGAAGGTCAGTATGCGCCACCTTGTTGATGAGACAAGAAGACTGGTTTGATCCTTTGATGTACATTAAAAGAATTTCGAAGTCACGTAACGGTAAAATTGGCAGGCTTTGAAGTGGGTCGTCGCTCCACTGTAATCTTCAAAGGATTACTGCCTAGCGATTGGTCAGGTTATTTTTAACCAAGACCAATGAAACGACATATTCCAGCGGTGCAGAGAGTGCAAGTGACTGTAACCCCTGGAGTATCGAGGATGGAGATTATAGGCTACTTTAATATGATGCGAGATACGTCATTACAAAAGTACCCTATTATAGAATGATGACCGTGCATTGGAATAAATGATATCATTTGATCTATTTTTGATGTTCATATGTAACATTTCAGAACCAGAAAAAGTGAATGTGAAGAAAGAATCAGAAGACAAGGAAAAAGAAGATGATTCAAAATCAGAAGGAAAGAAAGAGGAAGGAAAGGAGGATGAGGAAGAGAAAGACAAGGAAAAGGACAAAGAAAAGGTATCAGTTGTTTGTGAAGGTTATCTGTGTTTTGCATTCTGTTTCCATCATATCTGGCCCAGTTGTTCAAAAGATGATAAGCTTAGTCACTGTTCTACAACATTTTAAGAATCTGAAATCCTCACTGCCGTATCAGCTCAATTGACCCGTATAACCTTAGACTAGGAACCGTATCACCTTGTTATTTGAACTGAAGGGGGTCTTTTTACACAAGAAATTGACACTGATTAAATCACAAGGCTGACCCAAGTCCAGCAATAATCCCACCGGTCAGTTGTATGATAGGCGTATTGACACAGGGGGCCTTTGATTAGTGGGGAGGGGGACCAGACGACAAGCCCACAGGTGTCTGGCAAGCGTACACACTGGAGCCTAAAGCAATTACCACCAGATCCTTACAAACACTTGATACAGCTATTATAAATTAATTTACTCACATGATTGCATGACAACGCTGAAATAGCATGTGTTCAGTTAGTGATGGTCGCCATCTTGGATTGTGAACGTGCAGACCGGAAAGCGGATTTGTTGTTTTTAAAGAATAAGGACCCAAATAAAAAATGCTGTTTTAATCTTTGATCAAATTTTCTGACAGCAATATTTAGAGGAAATAAAAACACTGTACATTTTGTTAAAACATGTTCTCTAACCATACTGGTATGAAATTTTTCATGTAAGTGTTTCCCCCTATGTAACATAAACAGCTTTTAAGTATTTCTTCTTATTATTTTAAATGGAGATAAAGTAAGGGATAAAAATGCAAAGATAAGAAACAAATGTCATATCTATTATTCAATGTACAAAACTCATACACCTTTCTAGACATAAGGAACCTTTATTTATTTAATTGGTTTTAAAGTTCATCAAAAGTTTGTTAAATAAAAGTGCTTATTTAAACAAAAACTAAGGACCATGTCTACGTGACAATATGACTACCCAATTCCCCCTCTCCCTCTAAATTTAATAAGGTATTATTGAGTGTGTCCGTCTTGATTGTTCGTTGAAAATGAAACATCGGCTTAAACAAAATCTGGGGAGAACCTTGTGAATGTATAACTTTTTGAAACATTTGAACTCTTTAAGTCAGACTGTTTATCAAAAATTTTGCTTTCAGTCTGAGGAAGCAATGGAAACAGATGAGGCAGAGAAAAAGGATGATAAGGCAGAGAAAGAGGAAAAGTCTAAAGACAAAGAACCAAGTAAAGAATCTGAATCTGAGGAAAAGAAAGATGAGGTGGGTTAAATTTGTTACATTTTTAGTTTCAGACTACAGAAACTATGAATACTGAAACTGAATATTAATATTTAGATATATCAATGTCCAGAGTTAGTGATTGCACATGTGAAAATTATTTCTGAATCATAATTTGCATTTCTTTGAAATTACAATCGTAAGCAACAAATAATTTGGTTGTAGACAAAAACAGATGAGGAGAAGGAAAAGACTGGTGAAGAAGAGAAGATGGACACGAAGGAGGGAGACGAAAAATCAAAGGAGGTTACAGATGAAAAGAAAGAGGAGGAGACCAAAGCGGAGTTGTCTAAGAGGAAGGTTGATGGCAATGTAGCCACAGCGGCAGCCTCTGCTCTGGCATCAGCCGCAGTTAAAGCTAAGGTATGTCACTGATACGTTAGGGTACACATAATCTGCTCTTGATACATGATCGTACATCCTTGTCCAAGAATTTTGTACATAAAACAAATGTCATTTGTTGCACTAATGACTATGTGCTGAAATCAACTTATTTGTTTAAAATAAACAGGTGTTTTAAGGGAATATTAAAACAGTGTCTTCAATCACCAAAAAAAGTGCTGTTGTCTTAATTAAAATTCCAAAAGAAGTATGTTCACATATGTCTCTTCTGAAAGTCTTTTTGTTATCAAATAAATGCTGATATATTTATATAGAGGTGCTTTTACTGTTAGGTTCCTTAGAAACTGTTTGTTTATGTTTTCAAATAAATACTTATATCTCTATATATTGTTACAATTGCTGTTACATCCATGTAGCTTGTTCAGCTGATGTTCATGATCAAGGACGATGGCATCCGTCATAGCGTCCCGCTGTCTGATTTCAAGATATAATGGTGTGTTTAATATTTCAGCACCTAGCAGCAGTAGAGGAGCGTAAGATCAAATCTCTGGTGGCTTTGTTAGTGGAGACTCAAATGAAGAAGCTTGAGATCAAGTTACGTCACTTCGAGGAGCTGGAGACCATCATGGACAGAGAGAGGGATGCTGTAAGTGGCCTCGCTATCACCTCCCTGTATTTCTATTTCCTTAAAAATAATTATTTTTCAATTTAGAAAAATATACATGCACAGGCCATATTTAATTATCTAGTAAGACACTCTTTATTGGTAAAATAAATCATATATTCAATTTATTGTTATTGCTAATGAAATTTTCCATGTCTAATAACAATTTTTGAGCATTCACAAATTTGCTCCGAAATTGAATCAGGCTATTCCAGAATATATATACATTAAGGGGGGAGGCACTTATGCATGTGTAAATGATGATGTATGGATGATTGGATGCACTTATGCGTGTGTAAATGATGATGTATGTATGATGTGATGGTTGATGTCTCCTTTAGTCCTGGTCAAGGGTTCATAATACTGCTTACTTTGAGATCACTCTCAATTCACAGAATTAAATCCAGGTTAAGAATTATTAGTACTTTTTCTCTGATATTAAGTGAAATGTATTTTAAGTGTTGTGTGAAAATGTCACCTTCACAGTGAATGAATTGCAGAAAAAACTTTGTATGGAACATTTGGCAGTAGTATCCGGGTATAATTACCTCCAGGCATTATCCCTACAAATATCTTTACCTCATAACTAAAAGGATGTCAAATTCATTTGCTTAGTGAAAGCTGTGTTTGGTAATAAATACCATATTGACCTCATTGTGTTACAGCTGGAGTTCCAGCGTCAGCAGCTGTTACAGGAGAGACAAATGTTCCACAACGAACAAATCCGCGCGGCAGAACACCGTGCACGACAGATCGCCATGCAGCAACTTGTGTCGGAGCAAAAGCAGCAGTCAGCTCAGCAGGCCGGCGAACAAGGTAGAGATAAGATTAGTACTGTGACCTACAAGAGTGTCCGTGATTACATTGAATGGTTGTCAGAGAATAAACTAAAACTGCAATATATCTTCTCAGCTAACATCAAATTCAAAGTTCAAATAAAAATTCAGTTTAGACAGCCTATTCATCCAAAAAGTTTCTTTCTCCGAATAATTTTCCTAGAATTTGAAAAGGTTTTCATATTTTAACCTGCATACTATTCTCTGATCCCTTGTCTTCTACTGAAAAGCATGTCAGAATTTGGTGGAGTATCATGTCTGTTTTATAGAAACAAACGTTCTAAGCTTACCACTTTTAATACATTATCTGAAAATTCAATATAACGTAAACATGTGCATTTTGTTTTTCTTTGCCTAAAATGTCAGTATAACAAATATCCAATAGTGTAATGGAATCTTGTTTGACAGGAGGCTCAGCGGGTTCTGGGGCAGTGCCAGTCTCCACACCATCCCTGGCTGCCGCTGTGGGACAGAGCTATCCCATGACTGGCTCCCCGATGGCACCACAGGGCCCTCAGGCTCACCAACCCTCACAAGAATCCCCTGCCCCCTCCTTCCCCACACCATCACAGAGCCAAAGCCCACAGCCCCCTCCACAAACTCTGACCCACGGAATGCCTCCGCAGAGCATGCACCTTCCTGCAACACCCACAAAACCAAGTAGCGTTGAATCTCCAGGTATGTTATCTGACTAGCAGTTATCATTTGTGTGTGTGAGTCACCAGGTACAATACAATCAGTTATAACTGGTAGAGGTGAGGGTGTGTAAATATACCTGGCATCAGGAAACTACCTTGCTTTGTATACATATTCATATAGTAGAACCAATTTACGTTAATGTGCGACAACTCGATGACAAAGGCCCCTTTAGCGTATCCAGTTCAGCCTGGGGAAACGATTGAACCTGAAAGAAAACGAGAGGTGCAGATCTGAACTAGGCTGACCTTAGAAATATTTGGCACCTGTAGATTGAGGGGTCCAGACGTGCCCTACCAAAACTAAAATACTGACTATTGCCAGTTTCATTATTTCTTTATAAAACAAGGTCAATCCACATGTAGATTTTAAGATACGTTATATAATTTAGTCGATACCTGAAAGAAGGACATAATTTCTTGATACATGTATATTGTTATTTATTCTTAGAAATTGTGTATTTTTTAGCTCTGCCTACCATTAGGTCCAAGTGCGTTCTTTTATCGAGGAATATTTCTGCACTACCTAAACTGTTGCAACCAAGTATATGTTTTCTGTCACTTTCATCATACCAAAGGTCTCAAGGTGACAGAGAACATATCATGTTGGTCATTGAAATGTCACACATGAACACTTCACTTATTGTACTGTATAAACCTGTACACAGTCTATACTTACCAACCTGGTGAAAAGGTTTATACCTATTTTATTGTAATAAATGGCGAAACTATGGTTTTGAGGTTTTAATTTACAAGGTTGAGATGATAAAATAAAGACTATTAAACAGACAAATATAAGCTTTTGGACGTTGTTACAAGTGAACTTCAGAAAATTGCCTGTTAATGAACTGAAGAGGATTTTAGCTTGTTGACTGCTTTTTAAATCGGAGTAAATTTGTAGATTTTCCTAAACTATCAACTAAAGAAATCTAAACTTACTTTTACTTGAGAAGAAAGAACTAAGAGTAGGAATAAGATTGAAATATTACGAAAATTTGCACAAAAAATCTGCATTACAAATCTCTTTTTTTACAGCACCATCTACACAAAGTGATTCAGAACCGATGGTAACAGACTCACCATCTCCTGCTGTACCAAAACCATGACCAGTCATCAACTGAAACCTTATGTTGTGATTGTATTTATGTGTATAGTGAAGGAGCTCCTAGGTAGGAATGTGTTCAGCAAGGTTAACGTACACAAAGCCATTAAAAGATCTGATTCGTTGAAGACGTGTTGTGTAGGGCGGAGAGATTGTGTGTAGATGTTGGACCAGTGACACTTCTATTCGCCTGATAAAACAGACATGTACACGACAGAGGTGTCAATTACTCGTGTCTTGTTGAACATGGTGCTGAACAACGTTTACCATTGCACAAGTGACCAAATTCATCACAGATCTGTTCCGATGTCAGATTAGCTATCATCTGACTAGATATCTAACTCAGCACATCGTAGTGTATAACATTGTGCAGCTACCAACATTCTGTGGCATTTAGTTTTCGTGGAACTGGGTTATCTCCCTTGTACTGCATTTGATACTGAATTTCAATATTGAAGAGGCATTTTAAAAATGTCAAATATCAAATTTTGATTGGTTTTGGTTGTATATAAAAGATAAATATCTAAATAAATTTTGGCATTTTATTTTTGTACCATACCAGTAACGTTTCCATTGTTGAAGTAGTACATAGAGCATGCTTTAATATGTCGCTGTGTAGTTGGTGGTTATTTAAATAGTGCAATTTTACCAACTTATTGAGGGGGGATTGATTTATAATACGGAAATTATGAATTCATTAAATTATGTTCTACAAAATCATATCTAGTTCACTTTTGTTTATCATTTTCCAAAAGGTTGAACCAGTTAAACCAGAAATGTCTGTTAATGAAACTGAAATTGGCCTTCTTGTCTGATGTCATTGTCTGATAAGGTTTGGCAAAAACTTTTTACATTACATAAACATTTACGGATATGCCAGGCTCTACCTCCAAGAATGTTACATATAATAGCTGACGGATCATTCTACATAAACCAAAATCCTCCTGATCATCAGTCATATGAGAATTGTTGAAGACATTTTTCAACTTTCATGATCATTGTAAATGTCAGTGTTTGTTCATAATCATCCAATACAGGTTTTTTGTTCAAATTTTACATATTTGTATGTCTTTTGTCATTAGTGAATGTTTTGTCTTCTGTACAATAAATATATCAATAAGTAACCTGTTGTTATTGTTTCTTGAATTAAAGCGATTGGCTTTATCTATTGTCATCAGAGTCGAGCGATAACTTTATTCTCCCACCTCTACATGTGTGTAAATATACAGGTGTCCCATACAAAACACTCATGTTGGACTAATAGAATCTCCCCACATGGTTGCACGAAGTGATGGTTCTATTATGACGTCAAAATCAGACGACAGTGTAACATGACATCAGGGGTGGGTCCAGGTGAGNCATCAGGGGCGGGTCCAGGTGAGGGCGTAATGGGCGTACACCCCCCACCCACCCCCCTTTTTTTCACAACAAAAATCTGCTAATATTGTATTGAATATGGCAATTTATCATATTCATTAATTAAACACATAAACACCCCGACACCGTTACATTAGTGCATTTCACAATTATTTTATGTTTTTTAGCAAAAAAAAGGTCTAAAAAAAGATTTCATTCTACACCCCCCTCTTTCAAATATCCTAGAAACGCCCCTGGACATCATGATTGAAAGCCAGTGTTTGACTACGACGAACTTGCTATTGACAAGTCACACCACCTCTTGAACATTTAAAACCTATTGCACAAACTTGCCATGAAGGTGCATGGAGAGTTAAATTTATGGTATACCATACTTGTTTCTGCTCTTAGTTTGTGTAATTTTGCGCTAATTACAGATTCATTATCTTGACCATATTTTGTTCCAATTTTGGGAAAGAGGTGAGGGAACAAAAGTGTAAATCAGTTTAAGTATGTGGTATATAGATATTCTACCATTGGGTGTACAGGTAGAAGTGTGGTTTTAACCCAGATTCTACACCCTCCAGTATCTATATAACATACATATGATAAGATTCTATTAATACAGTTAACCTATCTGTGCAAATCTGCACATAGTTTAAGGATGCTGCATAATATAACACAAGCACTTTATATTTATGTATATTTTATTGAAAATAAGTATAACAGGTGTCACAATCGTGGGTTTGACATCTAAAAGGGGTCATTCTGGATACTAGAGTCAACATAGGCTCTATAAGAATCATTTTAAACTGACTTGCTTATCTTGAACAGCTTCAAGACATTCAGTATGGTGGTGGCACAGGGTCAATGATAAAAGTTTGTCAAACTATGCTTCTTCCACCTTAATAACAAATTTCAACCATATGAAGCTAGAAAAGCAGTGCGTTGTCATATGACTTCCAAAATTATTTAAGGTTTTGCAAATAAAAAATGTGCATTTCAAGCAGTGTGCCACCATCTTGGATTGCTTAGGTCGGAACAAACTCGTTTCATTAGGTCTGTGTTGACTTGGTTCGAGATAAAAAGTCCATATAGACCTATGTAGACTCTATGGTCCTGAATATTACCAAGGTAACTTGCATGCAGTACCCCAGATTACATCAGTGGTCAATACACTGACGGTCAGAACTGACCAGTAGTAATGACGCTTGTGTTTCCTGTCTTTTCTGTTGGTCAGAATAATCGCATCTGTTGGTAATCGCTTTTTATTGAGATCCGATATTGAAATATCCAACACAAGGCACTTCAGATACATCCAGAAGAAAAAGGTAGACAGTCATTTGTTTTGTTTTTGTGTAATACAAATCCGGGAATTATAAGAAACAACAAGGCACATAAATGTTATAGTTCAAAGTATTTTAATTTATGTACTTACAGAGAATGAATGACAACAATTTAGCAAACAGTCCAGACAAAATGCAGTTTCTTTGTTCTTGATATATTAAACAAGTACAGCAAAAATCAAACTGATGCAATTTATACAGCATATCAATATTTCATCCATGAAAATTTCGTCAACTGAACTTTTTATCTCGGATAACAAGTTCATGCAAGTAATTTGTAATACTGTACAGTGGGTAATTTTAGTGGTTGTTTTATTTTTGCAGTTTTTTGAAACACTGCTGCTAAACTTTCTATAATACTAATATGCAAGAAAATGATCATCTGAAAATCAATACCAACATCCTTTTTATTCAATTTTTCCTTTTACTTTTTACAGCCTATTACAATATTCATGAAAGATGTGATCCTGCCGATTTACTTATGCATGAATTACATTTTTTTCTCCTAGTGCAAAAATAATGCATTAACAATTCAACCCATTATGCATACCAAAAAGTCCTTTTGGAAAAATTTCATTGAAGAAATTGAATTTTCTCTATACATATTGCCATACAAAATAAGTCTCCATGTAAGTAGATAGTACCACAAAATTTGATTAGATGAAATGGCATAGGAAACTATATTGCACCTGTACCGAGTTTCTCTTATATAATCCATCTGCATGAAAATAACTAGTTTTTGAAAAAAATAAAATCTATTTACTGTGATTTTGAGTATTTGACAATATTATTAACAAGTATGGAAACATGTATATATATATATTTCATGTATACATATAAAAACTATATATAATTGATATAGGTATAAAAAAAATATGAATTATATCCCTTCTCTGGAATGTGATGAAGTGTTCCAGTTTCACTGCCACGTGGAACAGGAACTGAAAATCATTTGTTTTCTCAACGAATATTGGTCCGATAGTCTTATTTACATTATAAAAGGTACTCTGAAAAATCCAAAGGACCTTCTTTCCCTTAAGTACACCAGTAGCACTCGTACGTAAATAGTAAACAATGCAGAATATATAGTTATCTACAGAGAGTAAATTTGCTGGTTCACATATAGTTCCAGACTAGCATGTCTGATTGTTAACATTATCGTTATCAAAACCAAATTATTCTGCAGGTACAACATCTATTCCGAAGATAAGTGACCGCTGGTCAGATATGATTATGTCGACTGTGACATGCATGTAAAAGTCGATCTCACCATGATTAACCTCAAACATTTTTGGAGTAGTACATCTAAACAAAAGTCTGGATTCAAGTTGTGGAAGTCAAAATTTTATCCTACTTATCATTGACCTAGCTCCATCTCTCTGACATTTTGTGTACCAAAAAAATATATTTGAAATGACAACAGTTATTGAAAATTTCTATAAAACCATATAGAAATCTTTATTAACGAACAATTGCTTGTCCAGTCCCCAATTACTTGGATATTTCTTAATTTAAGAAACTTCCTTATGATAAGTTTTCACATTTAAAAGCATTATTGGGGTAATCGAAAAATCATGAGGAATATTTCTTCAACTATAGTAATAGTTTCTTAATGTTAACCAATGTTCATGACATGGTAGCATGAAAGACATAGCCATATCTACAGGGACCAGTAAAAAATGGACCAGACCTATCATCATTTTATCAATTTATCCGTCCCCTGTTGCCTTGTCCATACCCTTATACTACACATAATACAATTTTTACAACCACCAATTCTCCACAGGTAAAGTTGATCTCTACCTGATTAGAAATCGCAACTGCAGTGGAGGCACACGATCTCAAAATAAGTCCTATATAATGGCAAGATTACATGCTGTAACAGACAATAATTGATGATACAACAAAATTATCTCAAATTTCTTGTAATGTTTTTCATATTAAAATCTATTCTTCTGATAGACATGAAATAATAACAGATGAAGAGACATCACATCAAGCAAGATGTAGAAAGTACCATGTCGGCTATATTAGGATTTTATTTAAGTACAGTGGAAACTTGTAAGTTTCTGAATAGCATAATATTTATATTAATGAAACAGGTATGTTCACTAAAGGATCTTCATGTCGTCAATCTGACAGAAAACGTTTTGGTTTAGTTACTGAGTCAGAACTAGCCAGGTTCCACCGGTACTTGGGAAAGAAAATTCATAATGGAAAGTTATAGCGAAAACGTAAACATTTAGAGAAGAAATTAGGTATGGTCAGAAATAGACAGAGTATAAATCTAGGGAAGAAAGGATGTGTTAGGATAACTTGCAAGAATGTTGTCGGAAGCTTCTAAATAAGGAAAAAAAAGGAATAACTTCAATAATAAAGAAAATTGAAAGAAATGTGAGCAAGAATTGTTCTAGATCAAAAATGCAAAACTAAGTTGTATCCTTATTGTGCAAGTGAGAACATAAATTTCTATATACAAAATAAAGTATACAAGTATAATCTTGAACGTAAACTTTGTACATAACAAATGTAAAATGAAAGTAAACTGATTCAAATGGTATACAAGGAGTATGATATATATGTATGTAACATAATTCGTATAGGATATGAAACACCAATATGCATAACATTATAAAATTTAGATAATATTTTCATAATGAAACAGTATGTATGTACAATAAACTTCAAAAGTTACAATGGCAGAAAAAATAATAATGATTCTGAATGATTAACTCATGTACAACATTGTAATAAGAATACATGTAATTATCCTGGAGGACGTTTTCGTACCAATAGGAAGTTGATCCCAGAGTATATATCATAATACAGGCAAGGCACTCGAGGTAAGGTCAAGATCTCCAAGAACAGATCCAACATCATCTATTTGAAATCTTACGAAAAACATTTTAACACAAAAATCTCTTGACCTAATCTCACTAAATAAGCAGTTTTAAGTCTAGTTGTGTATGATCGACATATTTCTTGTTTGTAATTTTGCAATGTCAAGTTATAACACAAAGGGTGCAAAAATTTACCAATTGTTTCACATTATGATGATCTATTTATACTTACGACTCTAGTCCACTACATTGCACAAATATTCACACTCTCTTCTGATCAGAGCTGAATTCCCACACGCCCGTCTAGCTAATCCTACCCAGGATTATATGCCCATCTTGCACAAAACAGAAGTTTAAGCTTGTCTTCGTGTAAAACAATGCTCCCAGATTGCTCCTGTGAGCCTCTATCTTTCCTCATATATTTCCCCCATTTCCAGTCTGCATTGCAACAACAGAAGAACGCTAGCTAGCATTGTGATGCTCCTAACCAAACTGTCCGGAATTTTATTCCTGCCAAGTGAACTTCTAGCCTTCTACTAGCACACTCAACTTCTGACCAAAATGTCTGCAATTTGAATTCACCATAACATCTGTAGCATTAAACCTTACCTTCACTCCTGGGTCCAACATCACTTCGGAATTATTATGTAGTATACTGAACGTCTGCCCAAGGACCTTTGTCAAAAATTGAGGCCGTCACAACAGTAACAATATCTTGTCTAAAAACATGTCAAACAATTGATGCATACATCATTACAAACATAGAACAAAAACTAAACAACTTAAGTTTAAATCTGTCACACTGTAGCACAGGAATAATAAGTCGATCAAAACACAGAATAATTAAAATAAATTTCCAACATTCCCTTCTTACCCCTAAGAATAATATTATTAGATCTCAGGTCACCATGCAATTTGCATAAAATCATTTGTTTAAATGGTGGTCATTTTCTGTAGTTTAATTGCACACCAATCATAATTAGCAAATACATTAATTGCAATATTAATTTAAATACCCTATTTGTAAGTATTTCAACTCTCTTTTGCTATTATCACTAGTATTAACCTAATTTTAAACTAGATCCAGTTTACTTTAATAGGAAACTTACTATGAACAACAGCTACATGTTTCACAGCATATATTATTATATTATATGTGTATTCAACCTGTGTTATCCGAACATCTGTATATTTCGAACAGAATTACCCTGCGTAACGGCCCCTGTAGCATTAAGTTCTACTGAACGTAATCATTAGACCATGATCTGATACAATGCTTCCTTTATAGCCTAAATGAAGCTCTTTGAGTATTACAGAAGTAATTTGCAGCTGTAAGGGTTTATAAAGGAATACACATGATTTTTTTATATGATATGGCAAGTGTTGTGTGTCTCGATGTAAATAGGAAGAGAAGCGAAATAGCAATACAGTTTTTAGTTTTCTTTTCATCAGACACAAAAGAATCTTAAAATTTAGGGAAGCACAGGCGATGGTGTTGATCCAGGATATTGCAGGAGGGATCCAAACATAAACATGAATCAACGGGAGGAGAATCTATTTTGTCCAGTGCGTTCCTGCCTGGAGGGAGTAGCCGAGTACCATACTCAGAATATACTATATGGTATTTTTTGTTTGATCGGTACGAACAGTGTTCACTGTTCTCGAACGAACATTTCTTTCTCAAAGCAACTGTTGAACACAAGTAAGTATTTGACTCAATGTAGCACAAAGCTGATCAAAAGCAGATATTCTGAGTGAATACTTCAGCTTCAAACTTCCTTTTTCGGGACATCCCAAACTATAAAACTTTCTCCCGACACCGGTCAACTGGCCAATTAGAACCCTGTTAGTAAGTTTGGTTTCAGTTTTCACGCTTCGTGAAGTTTTCTGGGAAGACACCCTTGACACCTGTCAACTTCTTCACACCCATCAACCACCCATCATCCTGGGGAAAAAAACAAGTACATTTCATCAATGCTTAAATATTCACAACAGATTTTTCTATCTTTAATACAATACTTGTAGGCAGTAAGGATATCAGATTGGATCTTAATGAATCACTTATAATTTTATTAGTGCCAAATTAAGAGTTGGAACAATATTTTAAAGTTGACTTGAAACATGAGAAGCCTTAAATTTGACAATGCAATTGTTCAATCTAATGTAATGAAATATATCAAAATATCAAAACATGTATCAGCTAGGTAAGGAAGGAGAACTTATTTATAAGCGTGTAGGTAGGAATTCATTATCCAGTTTGTAAAATTGATCTCGCGAAAGATATATTTTATAATAAAATAAAAACATTGAATGATGCTTTGGGGGAAACAGGCAACTAGAACTGAGAACATGTATTCAAAATTAAAATTTGCTTTTTAAGCCAATAAATCTATTCCAAATTTTATTTTTAATTTACCTAAATATTTTGCAGCTTTACTATCAGGTAATGCTTATCAATATGTTTTTTAGTAGAAGTTTATTTCTTTTTTCACCATATAAATTTTATCAAGCAATAAGCTCATGCTGAATTTGGTTATAAACAAATCATTAGAAGTATGAACAAATGCAATTTCATTTTCCCATTCCCCTTTATTGAGGGCTGTTCCAGAATTAACCATTGGGGAGGGGTGGGGGGCACTTTTGCAGAGACCAAACCCCCCAATAAAATCTTAAAAGTGCTTTCATATAAGGAAAGTTATGCAGACCTGGCCCTCGGAATCTCGAAACTTTTCAACCCCAACACCGATAATATATTAATAGTTGCCTCCCACCTACCCGTACGATTAATTATGGAATAGCCCCAGAGTCAAGATATTAAATGTTGGCACCCTGGGCTTACTGAAGGATATATACATCTTTAATGCTCACAGACCCTTGAGCAGAGCTACTCACCAAATCCTCCGTGCCATCGTATTCCATCACATATATCACATCACCTTTCTCAAAGCTTAGTTCGTCTTCATCCTCCTTGGTGTAGGAATGAGTGGTCACAACCTGTTATAGAAATAATCTTCAATAAGATTCATCAGTTTGGAAATTTGTAATATCAAAGTTTTACTTTATACACAAACAATGTACGTATCAAACGTGTCGCAACGTTTCAACGTTGTCAAGCCTATGGGTCATAGCTTGACAAAGGGACCAGTGGGTATTGAAACGTTGCCACACGTTTAATACGTACATTGTGTGTATTTAGAAACACTTTCATAGAAATTAATTCTTTGGTTTACTTGCTAACAGGTGAACTAATTTAAACAAACTATAATCTGAACAAACTCTGTACATTTCCTGTAAAGCTTAGAGGTTCATGCATTGCCCACTTTTTTTTTTCACAATGAAGATGTAAGCAATAATATAACGATCTATTCCACTAGAACTTATATCAGGAACGATTTTGTCGGTGAGAGGTTAGTTAATAGTACTAACCATATACAGAGTTCCCTCGGGTAGTTTCTCTACCACTGGTGCATTGGACTTTGGCACTTCGTACAAATTGTCATCGTCGAATTTACTTGTGTCCTCTACCTCTGTTTGTTTTGTTTCTGCGGGTGACGGGACAATATCGTATATTGGTGCTTCCTCTGCCTCAGGTTCTGGACCCCCTGCCTTAGGCTCTGGCTCCTCCGTAGGTAACGACTCCTCCTCCTTCATCTGCATCACAGGCGAGTCGCTGGTGGGAGGGAGGTTTAGGGGGACAGCTGGTGGAGGATAGTCAGGAGCATCAATGACAGGTTCCTTATCTGGTATCTCCTGAGAGGATGTGTCTTTGGTGGTGGGTGTTTCCTGAGAGGTGGATGCTTCTTCGTTCGTGTCTTTGGTTTCCTCGGTCTGCAACATGTATAGTCAACAGACATTTAAATCACCAGAGCTTTTTAAAACCAAACAATTCTCTGACTGTTTAACTTAATCATCTTGAAAGTTAACTTTAAAAAAATCAAAAAATCTAACGAAGTTGTATAAACACAGTGCGACTTAAAGCTCATGAAGAAAGTATTCCTTTCTTTCAGATAATCATAACATCAAATGCAAGTGTTGTATCCTTTTACAGAATTAATTGAAACTGGAATTACTTAGTGATGAGTAGGAAGGGACTGAGAATGATAAAGGCAGTCCAAAACAAGAAATGATAGTTTTGGTATGAAGCAAACAATTATTGAAAGAATTCTTGAAGGTTGGTTGAAGTATAGTAAATCTATCATAGTAATAGTGACCTCTTTCTGCTCCTGAGTGTTAGTGGTCTGCTCTGCAACAACTGGCTGTGGAGGCTGACTTTCTACTTGGGGTGGAGTCACTATTTCTTCCTCTGGTTTATTGTCGATCTGGGGCGGGGACAGGGGCACAGTTTCTTGGAAGGACATGTTATTCTGGTACACTGGGCCTAAAATGAATTTACAGAATATGTACACATTTGAAATCACATGGTATCATTTTATCTTTTCAATAAGAAAAATTCCAATAAACAAAGTATCTACATATGAAACGCTTTGGAGGACTTCTAAATTCCCCAAACCAGTTGAATCACAGGCAGTATGTCTTCTTTTTTTTTTAAATCACGGCACTTTGTATCACCTTTTCTAAGGATTGTGACAGGCTTTCCATATGACCCAATTTCAGAATGCTATTTCTTCCCGACCTACTACCAAAAGCATTATGGAAATCTAACTGGATATCACCTCCTATTTCTGACTTGAACCGTTTATTTGTTATCACACATGTGACCTAGGTCCCTTTCGCGTATCCGGTTCAACTAGGTTGAACCTTTAAAGAAAAAGACAGGCACAGATCTGAACCGCAGCTGACCTCAGGAATATTCGCCACTAGTTAATTGAGAGGTCCAGACGAACCTGACCGAAACTAAAATGCAGACTATTTGCGTTATTTCTTTCTAAAACAATGTCAAGCCACATGTAGTTTCTAAGATACGTTATGTAATTCAGTGGACGCGTGAAAGAAGGGCATAATATTCTTGATACATTGTTATTTATTCTACGAAACTGTGCATTTAAAGCTCTGCTTATAGAATGGTCCAAGTGCATTAGTTTATCGTGAAATATTTCTGCTCCCCCTGTACCATTTCGACCGGTATACGCGAATGTAACACTAGTTGTACTTGGTGACCTACTTTCCGGCGATGAATGATGCCCTTCGTCTTCCTCATGGCCGTTTAACATTGGAGGCTGTGATGGTCGTGTGGGTGTGCTTACTGGGCTGGACGACTCGTATCCACTGTTGCCGTTAGTATGGTCGCCATTCTCTCCATTCACTACATGTGTGTTTCTGTAAAAAATCAACCGATACCATCAATTTGTTTTTCATTTTTCCTCAAACTTCATCATAACATCTATTATGACTTTTGAACATTTAACAATAAACTCACTTAACCCCTAATCTCCAGGATTAAGTTATTATCTCTATACTCAAAAGAAGTGAATTGATTTATTGATTGATTGACTGTTTTTATGTCTGTTTCACTACCAAGTAGTTCGTTTATCCAGCAGATGNTAACGGACGACGGACGACGGACGAAAACGGATAGCAATAGGTCACTTGAGCTAAAGCTCAGGTGACCTAAAAAGAGAATTATTGGTTACAGACCTTTATAAGGAAGTTGACCATTTTGAAATTATTCCTAGTAATGTTGCTTCAGTACTAACAAAACATACATCATGTCTTGTAGCATAGTGGATATGTATTTGACCCCTTATTCACATACATTGTGTCTAGTAAAAGTTATAGCTGTGTTCTCAGAAGCCATTTCGAGGCTGACAACACTTACTCATGTGACAAAGCCTTGCTGATGGGGCGTGGTCTGTAGGAAAACTGGTTCTCACTCGCTAAATGTTTTGAGATGTCACTTACGTCATCAGATAACTGTGGACAAAATAGGACATGTTAATGGTTGACATCCACATCATCATCATTACAGTGACGCTAAGAAACTAAAATGGTAATGTCATTGAAAGTATAGCTAATACATTTTTTAGGTTTTCAGTCTGGTGACAGATATTGGTCAAATGTAAATGTCCACTTGAATTTTTTTTTAAAGACTTTGTCAGAAAACTGTTGAAGTTCTTACCTTTCCAAGCTCAGAGTGGAACACACTTTCTGTGCCGAAGAGTTTTTCAAATATTGAACCATACATACTAACACGACTGAAAAATACAAAAGCTTGTAATGTCAACAATCTTTCTTACTGAACAATATAGTTACCTCAGCCACATATCCAATGTGTACAGACGCATTTTACCGTAAATCGTGATATTTTTACATAGGTTAGTTTTTGCAAATTTCTTGAAAATAGCTGTAGTTTTATTTTTACTGGCTTTTTTTCGCGAATTGGGTCTATGCACAAAAATGTGACTACTGTTAAAACATCGCAGTTTAAGTTTTAGAGCGAGTTGCACATCCGAGATCGTGGCGAGGTGTAGATAGAAATACAATAATGGAATGGAATCCAGGTGTCGGCTGTGTCTTGTTTCCAGGTTGTGTATATTATATTTATATTTACAAAAAAATCAAAAATAGAACCATCGTAAAATTATCCCGATTTAACATGCTCAATCATTTTTAGTAAGTGTCACAATCCATTGAATACATTCAAACTTCAAACAATATAAAATAGCACAAGAATTGTCAGCTCTCAAAAGTACGAAAATGCTGAAGGTGTATTTTAAGGAAAAACATAAAATCCAACGATTAGGAGCGTTGGTACAGCTATACCTGTTGTAGAACTCTGGGAGGTCGGCATGGAGATAGTCATTCATCTCAGTGTAGATCATCTTTGCCTGTTCAGCATCGTCCTTTGCCTTCAAAAGAAATATGTTTTTTCGTGAAATCTAATGAAGACAGAACCGTTAGGACAAAGGTCAATAGTTCATCAGGTAAAAATATATTAATGATGAATTTGTAACTGGTTTTCATATAAGGGCTGCAACTATATGTCATATCATATCGTATCATGACACTTTCTTGAGTATCGTATCAAATTGTTTTGTTTGTCTGTATTGCGATACGATAACAGTACTTAAGTTATATATCAATTTTCACCAAACTCTAAAAAAGTGTACTGAAATGTTTTGAATCTTTCAATGAAGATGTGGTCCACTGTACAGTCATACTCAAAAATACTGGTGTTAGAAATCATACAAAGATATCTTTTGATAGTATTTACTATTTAAGTCTATGAAAAAACTCGATAAAATCCTGCACTCAATCATTATGAAGTTAACCTTTCAAGCAGATGTTTATATTGTGATACACATGGTGTCGTAAGCATTGTACCACAGCATGTATCGTATTGTGAGGTATGCGTATCATTGCAGCCCTACTTATCATAAATCAGGCATGGGATCGATGAAGGAGTGAAAAGCTTGAAAATGGTAACAGTCCATAGTACAATTTGGTGATAATGTATACTGCTTTTTGTCATTACAAAACTACTTCTTAATGAAGTGCATATTTCCAAAACTAATCAATCTAATCTAATGTTTTACTTTAAATAATGCCTAAATTATTTAGGTCAACTTGGATATGTTATAAACAAGTTTTAATAATATTTCATTGTAAACAAAAAAAATGATTTCTTTACCTTGGCAATTTTGTTTTCATCTTTTTTCTTTGCATTCTGCACGACATCCAAATTGTGTCTTGCGTTATCGTAGTCGACCATCTTACGTCCTCGTTTAGCTATTCGTGTCTGTAAAAGAACATTAATGCATAAACACAGAGCTTGGTAAAAACAACAACCAGCTTGGGTGGTTTTACAGAACAGAATGGAACCAAAATATTTCTGTTAGGTTCCTTTACCCATCATAACAATATAATAATAAATATGATATGATACCACAAATGGTGGTTACCAAGGCAACTAAATATCAGGTGTAAGATTGGTCTACTATTGTAGGTGCCATCATAATTGTACCAACTCAGGACAGGGGAGTGGGGGAGGGGGTAGTTGCCTTGGTAATTTACCCATCCTGAGACTGTTATATAACTGGTATATTTGCCATGGTTATTGAACCTACCTTGAGGGGTGTTATATGACTGGTGTAGTTGCCATAGTGATTTACCCACCCTGAGGTCATTATATGACTGGTATCATTGCTATTGTACCTACCTTGAGGGGTGTTATATGACTTGTGTAGGTTGTCATGGCTACTGTACCTACCTTGAGGAGTGTTATATGACCGGGTTAGTTGTCATGGTTACTGTACCTACCTTGAGGGGGGTTATATGACCTGTTTAGTTGTCATGGTTACTGTACCTACCATGAGGGGGGTTATATGACTGGTGTAGGTTGTCATGGTTACTGTACCTCCCTTGAGGGGTGTTATATGACTGGTGTAGGTTGTCAGGGTTACTGTACCTACCTTGAGGGGAGTTATATGACTTGTGTAGGTTGTCATGGTTACTGTACCTACCTTGAGGAGTGTTATATGACCGGTTTAGTTGTCATGGTTACTGTACCTACCTTGAGGAGTGTTATATGACTTGTGTTGGTTGTCATGGTTACTGTACCTACCTTGAGGAGTGTTATATGAACGGATTAGTTGTCATGGCTACTATACCTACCTTGAGGGGTGTTATATGACCTGTTTAGTTGTCATGGTTATTGTACCTACCTTGAGGGGTGTTATATGACCTGTTTAGTTGTCATGGTTACTGTACCTACCTTGAGGGGTGTTATATGACTTGTGTTGGTTGTCATGGCTACTGTACCTACCTTGAGGGGTATTATATGACTTGTGTAGGTTGCCATCGGTTCCTGAACTCTTTCCTGAAGGTTTTGGATGAAGTCTGCCCACATCAACTCCATGGACTGCAAGAAAATAATAGTTCATCATTATTTCATTGAACACTCTATATACCACACAATTGTTATATCATTTCACTAAAGTTTGAAGTTCATAATAACATTAACATAGTCAATCATAGCACACTTCACTTGGAATTAGAGCTTTAGATCTTGCCATTTTCCCATGACTTCACAGTCAGCAATGTAATGATCAAGTGTTGGTGCAGTAGAACCGTGACCATGAACAAACTTAGTGATCAACAGAATTTTCACGAAGTTTATGAATATGTATTTATAAACCTAGTTGTATCATTGAGATACACCCTGTAATTCACTTCAAGATTATGGTGAAATCCTGGCACTTTCTGTTACACACCTGAAGATTTTCATGTATTTTGCTGCCACCTTCCCATTCCTCCTCATAGGTCTCCTGTATTGTGGCAAACAGGGACCGCGACGCATTCTGCATTGCTGCAAGTAAATCAGAAACAGTTGCAGTCAGCCAAATGTTGAAATTTATTTCTGATAATTGATAAGCAAGTTTTACCTTAAAAATTGTATTATACAAAATGTTCAAAATGAACAGGTATTCCAATATTTGGTGATATAACAATATATTTCAATGTTTAATAATCATGCATAATTTGGCAATAAACAGGTGTATGTATGTTTTATTTGCTCAAGTGTGACTAGTCATGGACACATTTGCTTTTCCAGTGAGTATACATGTGGACATGTGTATATTTTCTAATTTAACATCCATGTACATCAGCTATAAACCGAGAGAATATGACCACTGGATACAATAACACATACACATGTTGATTATTTCATAAATGATAAACATACGAGAATAATATGACGTGTACAGATTCCAAAATATACTTAATAACCAACGTATCTACAACAAATATCTAAAAAATATCAAGATGCAAAATATAATGTATTAAACCTAATAGGTCTCCATTGCACTAAGCAATTTGAGTAAATCGGAGGGATTCCAGAACCTTCCAAACTTCTCACAAAATAACCATGAGACACTTTTTTCAAGTTAGTTGGTAAATTATGTTAAAGGGATGGGATTTCGGACCAGAAAGAATACCAGGGGCAGTGGGGACTTGTAAATGATGGGATGAAAGACAATATTATTAAATGAAGAATAAGGTGGTCCATAAAAAACTTGGGAATGTTTACATTTTTTCGTCAACATGTCCTAAATCACTGTCACAAGATGATGAATCACCGAACTACAAATAATGACACAGCCTGTCACAGATTAAAACTTAGCCGGAAATCTGCCCTCTGTCCCAGTATTCATAACTCGGTGTAATGGGCACCGGTCTTCATGGTATATCGTACCACAACTTGTAACAAGTACCATATTAGATATGTCATAAACACGCTGCTATAACGTCATATGATGAATCATATCCAAATCCAGGAAATATCAATTTTCACATTCAGCTTCAAAATATTGAAGGTACACACAGTTCAATTTCAGTTTAAATTTGAAATCTTCATCTTCAAATAATTAAAATATACAAAAAAATTGATTTTACACTCAAAATGTGAGCTTTCTCGATTGCATTGTACTTTGAATGTGTCTGAATACTAGTTTTACATAAATATATTTACATTTCCACTGCAAGTTGCTCTATAACATTACCAGAAGAAGTTACATTCATAGCACTATGAATGCAATTTGATCGGCATAGTTTTGAGGCCCCTCCTCCCGCCTCAAATAACATTAGACAACCATTGGCAGCAAACATTTGTGACATTTTTTACTTGGGTAAGTACCTTTTCTGATATGAACCATAACATTTAGTGCTTTTTAGAGCTAAAACTCTAATGTTGTGATTTGTTCGGACAATTTGGTAAGTTTTGTGGATTTCCAAGCCTATAAAAACCTTGTAAACAAAGCCAGATAAGTGATGGTTTGTATTTAAGTGTAAACACATGAGTAATTTTTGTTTTATTCTGATTTAGAAAAGATGAGCAGACATCCTGTGTCTGATGCATCATGACCTTTAAACATGCTTGAGAAACCCTTTGACTATCCTTCCTTGTATAAAGTGGCTATACCTAAGTGTAATTGCTACATGTGTTTAGTATCAAATTGTGCATAAAAAACATTTTTGTATTTCGTTTTACGCCACAGAAAACAAATGCACTTTTCATTATTTGCATAGCCATTCATTATACAAAACATATGCGTTTCTGAGTTTTTTCAGGTTTATATTGAAACACGTTATACATATTTTTTGTCAGACATTTGGAATGGCTGTTGCTATGGTAATGAAAGTTTTACATCAGACAAATTTTTCAATTAACAACAAATTTCCCCAGCTGCTGTCGTGAAAGTTAATTACGGAGGCAGTAACACATGTAAATGTAAAACTGTGACAGCTAAGTGTGGATCAGACATACACCATTTTTTTGGTACTTAATTAATATGTACAAATATGTCTATTAATATACCTGCTAGTGACATCTACCTTTTGTTTCCATACTTGTCAACATTAAACGTCAAGTTTGATATGAGGAGATGTAACTTAGGTTTGAATTCTGTTCTTTGCGAGCTATATATGGTGACACCAGGCCTAGTTATATCTTCACGACATCATTATCATTCAGCTAGACAGATGGACTGGTGTTAATCATATAATATAATAAGGTCGTAAAATGGAGACGCTTGCTTTGTAAAATCTGACAAGTCTGTACGTATAGGATTCTTATGGATATCAAACAAATCAAACTAAGGCAGTTAAAGGGATTGTCTCCCTTTAATTACTGAAATTTTATTATTATCGCTTGTTTTTATTGAACTACTGAATTTGATTTAGAATCGGTCCACTGGAGGTTGTGGAACTTTTGGAATCTAAGTAAAAAGACATTTGATTTCAATTTCTCTGTATTGTTTACATTGAAAAAGGAAACAACCTAAATCTGGAATTAATTTTGGAGGCACAGTAATCTAATGGTAGGACGCCGGGCTTGTGACTGAAGGGTTGTGGGTTCGAGTCACGTCATGGCACTGTGTTGTATCTTTGAACTAGATAATTAACTCCGCTGGTTCCATTCTACTCAGCTGTAAATGAGTACGGGGTTTGGCAGTGCTAGAATTGTTGAATGCCAGCTGTAAGCGCTGAAATGGCAGCACCGGCTGTATGCTTCCCAGGGAGTTAAGAAAGATATTGGCTGGTTGCAAAGGCCCTATAACCATGGATAATAATTTGTTAACCGCTTTGAGATGACCTACAAACTTGGTTGTGATAAAGCGGTATATAGGAACCTCAAATTATTACTATTATATATTATAAATTATCTAGTTTGATACATCACTTGACCTCATTGTTCAATGGAAAAAGAAAGATATACTTTGAATTAGTGTCTAGGTTAACATAAATTGTGTTGTTTATATGTATACATATCGGGTATAATGAATAGTATTATGTTGACATAGAGCGAGGCCGGTATTAAAACAAGGAAATACCTACTTGAGTAACGTCCTGGCTGTATTATAGATATCAGTACCACTAGTGACTTTCAGGAACTAATGAGGTAATACACACATATATACATACACATGCAAACATTTTTCCAGAAATATAACTTTTGCAAAATATGCCTATGTAGGAGTGTGGTCTTACTACAGGAAAACTTAATAGAATTAGTTTTCATTTCTGCTGAACTGTTATATATATGGGTAGGCTTATTAACAGACCTGGGCGTATTACCAGACAAATTAACAAGGTAAATGCAGATTTAACACGGACATCCTCCGGTATGCCAATAAATCATGGGCAACTCCGTTTATGATGATTAATCCTGGCCAGCATAATACAAATTAACTAAAATAATCATGCCAGACAGAAATATACCATATTTCTACATTTTTGAAAGTTTGTTATTTCAAAATAAGGATTGCGTCAAAATGGAGCGTATATTATGTTTTTGTTCATGTCATATTATTCTCGACACCAAAATTGTGTCACTACATTCTTAACAAACACAGAATGCGGTCATAATTGGGTATTCTTTATGGCTTTAATTAATGGCTTTCTGTCGGAGTGTCACAGCCTATGCGACAAATAAGATCTTAACTAACACTTTAACATACAACATCACATATCAAGGTCATTCAAGGCCAAACTCGTGCCCAACGATGAAGAGTGAAAACATTTTGGTCTCCTAATCTTTGTCAGATCTGCGAAGTACAGGATCTGGTTACTGATAGCTATGTATCAGTATCTTCCTGCTTCCTCCGATGTGACTACTCCTTGGATATGATATGGTGTACCGATAACCGAGATTTAACAATACTCCAGCGCTTCTTCCATTCCACAGAACAAAATCAAGGCAGCTAACATTCTGTCAGTTGCTGGTAGAGCCATGTGTTAGAACCTTATAAATCGATTTTAAGCATTTTTTGGAACTCCTAGATCAGAGCTTCAATGAATATTGAATGATTTTGTTTGTTGCCAATATTACCAGAGGCTGATCAATCAAAAACAATCAGATTTTACATACTCTATACACACTGAATTACAATTAATTTTGTCACCCTTAAAGTTTTCAAGGGAACAGTACAAATTATTCACGGTATATGTAGAATATTCATGTGAGGTGGATGGTTGAGTAACAAAGTAGAAAATGCTCGTAACAAAAGATAAACACCTCGATCTTCACTCATATGAGCTGAAAAGGTAAAAACGCAAAGCCCACTCTACTTTGTGATGAGGGCATACAAATATTATTGTTTCAGTGCATGCATTTATGTACTGTTAAACGGTAATTTTTGTCTCAATTTTACTTTTGTCTTTGTACTGTTGAAGGAGAGAGCAAATTAAAATACCCCAAATAAATGAGGGTAAATTCAACACACATTTAGTTAGCAGTACCCCTAAATGTTTGTGGGTGATTTCAACATGGATGTATTTGTATTCAAAAGGTCAGAGGTCAACAATATGTTGGGGGCGAAATATTATGATTTACAGTAGGTGGAAATACTTGGCAGCGAATGTACAGGTAGTCATGGATACTGAAAAATTACCTTCCGTGGAATGTCACAGACCAGCACATTAGAAAATCAGTTTATATTTAAACACCGTAATTCAATTTGTTTTAATCATTTAGTTAATGTAAACCTAATAGATATTAACTTGATGAAATAGTATTTGCACACTCTCTGTGTATGATCATGTTTAGCCCGAGGTGACCACCAGGTGACCAGAGTTCAAACAAGGACAGACCTGACATATATCAGACTTGTCACTGGAGTTGGCTAGGTACACTAGATACAAACACTGGTGCGAGTCTGAGCCAACCATGCACTCTGGTGCAGAATCAGAGTAAGTGTTATTTACTTAAGTATGATGAACTTAAGGCACCATTTTGTGATGTACTCCCATCCCAGGGGCTATTAGCATTCCAAGGTCAATATTCACACGGAATACCTCCAACTTTTA